GTTGTAACTTGTAAACGTATTTATAGTGAAAGGATTCGTGAGTCGTGGGTGTGTTGATGACGTGCCCCCGCGCAGGTTCCAACTGCATTCGAATAAGCTTGTTTGCTTGTCTCATGTTTACGTGATATCAGACACGTGTAGCGTATAGTATACCTATATGGCTTTGACTGGCTCAATGGCGCCAAGTTTAATTTTGCGAAACAATTGAGAAAGAATGCGGGCTTAAGCTAAATTGTCACATAAACAAACGCACTCTTTAAATATAACACTTAACGTTCTATAACGCGAACATTAAATACTGTCTATAGTTTACGCGAGTAGTACACATTTAAATAACACACTTTAACGGTTTAAAACGCGATATATTAGTGCGGGTGTCTCCCCGTGACCACGGCTGCTGCAAAGCATCCGAAACGTCGGGCCGAAGTTAAAAATAATTTTCAAATAAGTTTAACTAATATATCGCGTTTTAAACCGTTAAAGTGTTTTATTTGAATGCTAATACATTATTTATAATTCATTTTAAGTATGGCCTGACGCTTCGGATTAATAAAATAATTAATGCGCCCTATAAAAGCCCAATTCGCCCATTCATATGATCTGATGATTACTGAGTTCACCGTAGATACCTTTTTAGAGAATATCTCTAAAAGGTATCTACAATAAAATAATAAAGTGTATAAGTATATAATTTTATCTCTCACACGAATCTTCTCGGTTCCACTTCCATTACTTACGTTACAATAGCAGTAACGTAACATTCGTTACCATAACACACCAACAATTGTAGGTAAATATACCGACAAGAATTTAAAAAAACGCGTCCTCCTACTAATAGCGTTCATTCGGTATGTAATCAAACTTACCCTAAGGTAAGTTCAAATCAATGAGCTTTAAGAACCTAATTAGGTTGCACATTAAGGACGTGTTAAAGAAAATTGTGCATTTACTAATGCTGCCGTTGTTGCAAATGTTTAAACAACTGTAAAAATAAGCAGTTCTAACTTTAAAATATTTGGTATCTCTGTTACAAGGTTACTTTGATGGATTCTGATGAATAGCCTATATTGCTATTCTATTGGCTAAAACAAACGTTTTTTATTTAATCCCAAAAGTGTTGCAAAAATTGATATCATAGTTAAATTTAATTCGATGTTGCATCATGAGGAAAAGTTATTGTTGTTAGTAAATTAAGTAGAGATCTCTCATTTGTAAATATTGTATACAAGGTTTTTATTCTATAAATTTAAAATTCTAATTATATCTGTTACAACGAAAGACAAAGGTTTAATGAAATGTGTTTTATTTATAACGTTTTAATATTAATTATGTGTTGAAATATTATTCACGTTAATAAAAGAAGGAAAACTATCAAGGAAAATGTTGAAAGTGGATAGTTTAGTAAACATTACATAGTGTGATGATAATTTAGATTGTGATATTATACCTATTACAAAATATAGATCCACGGGTCGACCAATATATTACATTTATAAGTTATTTATTAATTAAAGGTGTCAAAGTTATATGAAATATATTATAGGTACGCGAGTTATGTCGCCGTATTTTATTTGCTTTGATACTTTTCGTTTTTGCTTTTTAAATAAAGTGCAAAATTACATATTATCAATTAAGCTGGCTAAAAACTTGAAATCAGTTAATAACACTTCTTTTGACTTGAATTAATCTGCGCCAAAATTTTATTACATTATTTTTATGTTGTTTTGTTTTTGTTGATTTTAAGTTCATTTTTTTGGCGTTTAAAGCCTTGATCGTTTTCGTATATATACCTAATATGAATGATCAAGTAAAGAGTTTTCTATTGAGTAAGAATTAAGAAAAGAAAATTTATAAAAACACGAAAACAACAATTGAGTTGAATTATAAAATCTGGCAAGGTTGTATATTTTAATATGTCATGATGATAGTGGGTAAATCCCTCAAGTCAGAGCTGTTTAAACATTGTTATTTATTGCAGATAACTTTGCAAACTAGATAAGTTTTACGATCCTTTTGTTCTTACCAACTAAGTTTCTAATACTAGACTTTGAATAATCAAAAAGTCAATAAAATATTGACACATACCTATTTATATCTAGCATTATTCACTTATAAATGTTCGTATGTTTCACTTTTAAAAATGTATCATCTATTTATATAAGTTGGTAACAATTAAGGTAGATTAGACTTAGCATTAATGACTCCACAATTATTTTCTACTTGCATGTATGTATATTCGCAAATTAAATGTCTGTGTTATTTAAAAGTTGTTTAAAAATCGTATTAATTATTATAAGAATATATAAAATGATTATTTCTGAATTCGAATTTTACAACACTTAGTAAGTAGGTGATAAAAATGATACGTTATACTTATTTAATTTTAAAACCCTTAGAAAAACATTCTACACTCATTTATTATTTATTTCTCACGACTGGTTAAATAAAAAGTCCCTTTTAATTCTAGGTACGTCTTCAGTTAAAATATTGACATACTCACTTTTGGGCAAATAAGGTCCTTCATAATGAAAACTCGTCAGTCCAAGTACACAGTTGCACACCCAATAGCGTTATGAGAAAAGTGATTTTCCACAACGACTTTTCAATGAACTTCGCCTATAAACTTCTTTATCTCAGACCCACAGTAATAATATTATTATCTTTATCTAAATTGAGACTAGCATTACAGTTGTAACACAGCTACGCCGAAGCATATAATAAACATAACATTTATTGTTGTTTTAAGTGTTATATTGTCATTATAACAAAGAGTGTATTCTTGAACAATAAATTAATTCACTTTTATGTCACTATAAAGATGTATTATGCCGATTGGGAGGTCTTTCGAGAACTAAATGGGGTTTGGCAGAGGCCTGTTGCATAAAATATTGCACTTTGCCTCTTCGGAGTTAGGCAGTTGGCTTTTGTCCAATGGGTAGGATAGGTACAGCAGATGTACTATAGTAGCATTATCCTATATTTATCTTTCATTAATAAGATCACCTTAACGTTTAAGGAAACTGTTAAATATAAATTATGAACTTACATTTCTGTAAGATCTAAATTCTAAATCTTATCAAAGATAATAAAATAATTTTTAAGTAGTTATTTGTTCTGGGAAGCTAACAATATTAAAATAGCTTTAATAAGCAAAAAATATAAGGTAAGTGATGCTCAGAGAGGAAAAAAATATTTTTTTTAAATATATTTCTTTAAATATTGATATACCCACGTTAACATTGACGTAACGTAAGAAGTAATTGACACTAATTTAATTAACACCTTTTTAATCTATTTTTAAACACAAAGGTTTCATTTGCCACTTATTATTACATACACATTTGACTTGTTGGTTGCAAAGTCTATTTTTGGGGAAGTTAAGAACTTGTGAGACTATATTATAAACGGTACCTAATAAATGGTGTTGCATGTATGGTTGAAAGCCATTATAATATATATTGCATGTTAATTGATTTAATACGTACATTAAGCAATAAAAATAGAGAAATGTATTTGTTTTTAGATCATGTGCTGCTATCTATTAACGATATGAAGAAATCGGTTTATGCAATTATTTTTGTGTTTAAGTTCAGAACTATTACGACGAAGTTACAAAGCAAATCTATAGATGACACTGTTAAAAAATTCAGACAATAGTTAATGGTTAATAGATGGCGCCGTTATCGAATCCACACAATAGTTAATAAAGAAAGACATAGATAATGCTGTTAGCAAATCCACACAATAGTTTATGAAGAAAGTCGATAGGTGGCGCTGTTAACAAATCCATACAGTAGTTAATGTAGAAAGTCCATAGTTGGCGCTGTTATGGAATCCACACAGTAGTTAATATAGACAATCGATAGATGGCGCTGCTATCGAGTCCACACAATAGTTAATAAAGAGAGTTGATAGATGGCGCTAGTTATATAACGTTGTCCATTATTGAAGTGTTTTTTTTTTAGTTTATTTATATAATGTGATTTTTAACTACCAAAAATTAAGACAGCAGTGTAGTGCAGTTTAGTTTACAAACTAGCGTAAATATGTGTTTATGCACAAATTAATAAATTTTTGTGATTACAATTTTTAAATATCGTATATCGTGTTTCCCGCTAAAAGTTTAGCGTTTTATATTACAATAAAAGATGAAATCATCTTTGAATGGAATGTAGCTTATGCGTGGGTTGCGTAGGTAGTCATATTAATTGAGCTCTCGTGTCTCGCTTTACTTTGATACATCGCTATCGTGCTATGACCTTCGTGAATATGTGAAGATTTGTTACGTCTCTAAATGTCTACGTCTAATATCACCGTAATTGAAAGAAATATTTCTATATTGTCGTAACGGAGTTTCAAGACCCGAGTTTTTGCTTTTTAATTTCTGTCTCTTATTGACATGATTATAAATTCTCTTGCTAATTATAAATTCTACAATTTTAATACACAACAAAAACCACACAACGATAACCCGAATCGCTTTTTACGTACGTTATAATCTGTTAATTAAATAAAAAATACCATATCGTGCACATTATTTCATTTTATCCGATTGTATTAAAATAAGTAACAAAGTCTTAATATGGAAATATAATCGACTTGTATAATTGAACACACTTTACCAATCCCTAACTTTTTCAAATGAATGGATCTAAATGGATCGATATTTGGGCTAGAGAAATTAAAACGACACCTATGTAGAAATTTAAAGTACTGAAATATAGGGCTAAATAGAGGGAGCAATTATCACTACATTGTACCGTAGCGCCCAATTAATCGTAGCCTTTCGTAGCAACCGTTAGCGGCGGGCGGCGCATTCAGTACGCAAGTAGCTTTCGTTGCGCCCGCGCACGTCACTCTCTCGCGCACATTACGAGGAACGCGCGTGTTTTGTTCCGGTCGGACATAAGTAATGAATTTTATGAATAAATACTAGTTTTTGAAATGTTATGATTCATGTCATGTTTTGTGCGAGTGACGCGTGAGTGTCGTTGGGCACAATGAGTGCGCCGGTGAATTGGCACAAATGCCTAGTGTTGTCGCTGCTGGGATTGGCTTTGTCCGCTCGGACAATTGGTTGCGATTATAGTTCCATCACCGAGAAATTTGGAGCGGAAGCTGTGGCGCGATGCAACGAAAAATGCCCGTTTCAGGTTGTTAATTATTTTCACACCTATGACACACATATCTCCTGCATGGAGCATGGGGGTTCATTTCTTATTTCATGTATTGCCTCGCCGGGGTTCGATGCCTTTAACTATTGTGCTATGGTTACAAAAAGTACTCTACAGGCATTAAATGGAGGGAAAATTACGAATTGAATTCAACAACGAATAGCTAAATTAAATAGTAAGATATATTGGTAAACAATAACGATTCGCTACATATAAACATGTTTTCAATTTACTGCTTGATAGACTGAACAGAGGCCTTATAATTTATGTACAATGTCACAATTAGTTATTATTTCAAGTCGACTTACATAAAGTTTTCATGTTCGTGTATCTAAAGACAACGTCTTATTTTTGCGTATATTATAAAGTATAGGTATAATGTCAAAGAGCTTATTTTTTTTTATAAAATCTTAAAGCCTGCAAGATTTCTATGAAATTGAATCGAGTTAACAATAGAAGACAATGTTTATAGGCGCAAGGATAATTGCGTTTGCGCCAGTTCAACGCTCAAGTAATTGTTGACAATTAGCGAACAGTTGTAATAATCCAAACTGTGCTAAATATAGCTACGTGTCTAACTATCATTCCGTGTTGTTAGGAATTTACTCTTTTATTACTAGCTTTTGCTTCGATAGCAAAAAATATATCATTAAAAATTAAAGTGAATGTAAATAATTGATCTTTTCAGATCATATATGATGATATGAAGAAATGAGAACACATTTCACTTAATTATTATTTTAATATTTTTTTGTTTCAAGTGTCCTATTTAGTTTCAAAACATAAAAACAAAATAGGATCTATGACTGCGATGGCCTAACATTTATCTATTATTAAATATGTAATACGAACCATTTCAGAAAATAAATGTATGTATAAACATAAATATTTCTAATTAATTTAATCATCAAAAAGATATATTAATCGGAGGTTAACAATATAATATTGGTTTAAGAAAACCAATTCATTGTGTATGTATGCATTATATATTATTCAAACTATAAAGCATACATACATATCGAAATTTTCGCATAAGCAGTATTAAACACGGGGTCCTTCAATTAATTTAGACTCTACCTTGACTTACAGGATTTCGGATATCCCTTTTTACACAGATAAGGTCAACTGTTATGAAGTTAAAAATAAAATCCCAAAATTGTAGCCGCAATAGCGTATCGTATGACATGACAGAAACCAGAAAAGTGTAGGACGACCGCGGCGGTTCCGCTCACACGCTGGCAAAAAAGCTTTGGCACATACCTTTTCCATAAGCATACGTTTTAAAGAAAAAATGAAATTAGGCTAGTCTAAATACAAAATACAACAAAGGTTGTGTTTTTGAGAGCCTATGTACTGGTACACAACCAATCCTTGACAAGATTTGACTAGATTCTACGCTTTGGTTTCAGTCTATGGATTTCAGGATATCCTCAGCTCTTTCAACAAATTATGAGCTATTAAGTATTATTTATGTCCACACAACAAACGCTTTTTTACTGTTACCGTGTGATACTCGTTCAAAGAACAATATATATTTCGATTATAATTTTCTCTATTCACATGGACATATTAAAATGTTGATATAAATATTAATAGCGAATAAAGAACAAAATCTCGATGTCCCATCAGTGATGGCACGCTTCGTTGCGCGTGCGCAGTCACGCCGGAAACTATTAGCCTGGTCTCCGGTGGATGTTAACCTGATTATTACGAAACCTGTCGCCCTTTTTAGGGTTCCCCACCTACAGGGTAAACGGGGATCCTATTATTACTAAGATTCCGCTGTGCGTTCGTCGCCAAAATATATCTCAAAAATAATGATTCTTGGTCAGTTTTTATTTACAGGTACATATACTTATATATGGACAGATGTAAACACATTATAATATGATGTGCTTATATTTATACAAAAGTACTGAGTTGCAATTATAGCAATAGTCAAGTATTATATATGTATTTATAAGAAAGACATCTAAAGGCTTGAAATAAATACCGAATATTGGGGAATATAATTTATTTCAAAACTGTTATATATTATAATTATAATAATGTTACTTTTATTATTATGTTGTCTTTTTAAATATTTTTGAATCTATTACAATTGGAATTAAATTGCTATTATTGTTTTCACGTACAGTAAACTCGATTTTTTTATCGTTTTTATAGGTATTTTAATGAGAACCCCTTGCGCATATAGCCAATTCATACTTAGCTTAAGTTTTTTGAATCCCTTCGGTGTTTTGATTAAGATTTTTTTTCAGAATCGCACCGGCGAGGGGCACTTCGATGTCAACTGTGCTTCCGATTGTAGCGTCAAACAAGTAAGTATTTTTCAAGACGTATTTGAATATACATGAATACATATTGAGTGGTGATCTTAATATCAAGGTTCGAATACAAAGATGTAAACCTGAAAATGAATAAGAACAAGTCTCGTGCTTTCAGTGTTTACTTTTACATGTAAATTTGCTTTTGTTTATTATTCCTTACACCTACTTACCTACTTAATAAAACATTTCCATTTTATTTTCTCCTGTACTTCATGTTGCTGGGAAAAAATCCTGCTGATCAGCGGCCTTTTAATTAAAAGTTTGTACGTAAGATTTTTTTCTTTTTATGCCTTTTAGTGATTTGTAGGTACAGTGTGCTATGTAAGTATTTATAGCGTTTGAAATATTCTTCGTGATGTGCGCCTTTGTTTTTCTGATTCAATAAATAATTTGTAAACTCAAAGGTCGTCGTCCTTTTTATTGAATAAATATTAATATTCAATTTAATAACAACAGTCTGATAGCATTGGAACTTCTGCATAATATGTCATATAAATCGTTCTCTGTGAAAGCAGCAGTCATAAAAATAATACGCTTGATAAGGTTTACATATTATTGAATTGCTCTGTATAGAGTTACCTATATTAAAGTTTTACTACTCACCGGAAATATTTACATAAGCAATTTTTATTGTTATTTGGGCGTTTTTTATGACATAGACATAATATCACTTTTTGGAATGTAAAATACCCCAGAATTTCTTATCTTATTAATTTGATTGAAAATATATTTTTGCCTAATAGTGAAGCTTGAATATGTAAGGACAAGATATCTAAAATACCATAGGCGATATATGAAACCGAAAATTGTTGCAAAAAATAATACTCTTAACATTCCTATTTCATCATTAGCTTAAACTAAACGAATTATTAAACTAACGAAGTTATGCTTCCATAAATCATTTATTTATGTTTTATTTCTTGGAAAGGATTAAAAAGTATTTTAACTACTCCTGGCTCATGTTTACACAATATATTTTTTAATATATATTTTTCATATCAAATAAGCCTACAATTATATTCTCCACCAACATGTATGTTACATGTATACGTGGAGCATAGCTTGATGTAATGTATTGTTGAAGTAGAACGTACAATCCAATCCGTCAGTCTCTATTGCCAATGAAAATGGCGGTAACCATTATGTAGTTGGGATAAACGTTGCTCACTTGTTCGTTACGTTAATGTTACATGTATATGCGATGTATTTACATCTATCTAGTAAAGCTACTGGATAGAGAACGAATTAAAACTACTGGTATTGTACTATTATATTTATGTCAATTAATATATGTAAATTGTCACAAATTTTACTTTCGAACTTTTAAAAAGTAACACACTGCATACGGAACCCGTAGTATGTAGAATACTACGGGTTTTCAATTTATACTTTCCTAATTAGGTTCTATTAAACGACATGAACTCAAGCTCCTAAAATGAATAAAATTATCTTCCGTATATAGTAGAAGTCGAATAAGTGAAGAATTAGTTTTAATAGAGCTTTATGGGTTTTCAAGCTACACTTAAAATTCTCGACATTTTAGCCATGACGATTTGTAAACCTGTTCTGACTCTCTGAATTAATTAAATTTCAGCCAATGTACGGCGTTAATGTTTACCTGTCGTAGTTGCTATATGAAAATAATTACTCAGTTAAGTTTATAATTACCAAACGATAAGTGAATCGCTTCACACTGACCTGACCTTTATGATATGGTACACAATAATATAAAGAATGAATATGTATTCGAAAACATGATAATACCGCGACACGTTTTCCATCTTCAGTAGTTCAAATTACGTACTTATACTAGTTACTAGCTTCGAGCGCGACGTCGTCCCCGTAGAATAATTATTTTAGGCATCAAAATTCATTTTTATAAATTTTTGTTGTGACCTACGACGTCGTCCGCGTCCCATCGTCCTTGTTAATCTTAAAAGATATACATATACGCGGACTTTTTTAGTTTGTCTAAAGAGGAATTATTCTTTCATACTTAGTTTTATAGTTGAGTATCTTGAACCGTTTTCGCAGCGCATGTATATTTCCTGTTTTCTTTTTTTACATTTTGTTAATTGCAGCACAATATTTAACGGTCTATAATTAATAAAGCCTTAGACAAATGCGCTTAACCAACATGAAAATAATTTTGCAATCCGAACCAGTAGTTTGTGACATTAGCGCGTTCAAACAAACTAACCAACTCTCCAGCTTTATTATATAAGTATATTTTTACATGGCTACACTTTTACAGTGTACGTTAAGTTAGAAAAGGTTAAGTAATCTAGATAGAACTAGTTTGTCCACTGAAGAGTCATGGTAATTAGAGCCTAACGAGCCGCTTTACAGAACCATGTATTATGAGTTGAATATATAAAAAGTAAATCCTTATATACTTACACAGATTATAATAATAGTTTACGAAGAATAATTATAGAGCAAAAAATGTTATCTGCATTCATTATCCATCATTTAAATGCAGACATAAAACAGTTATTTCCCGCCGAATTCTGACAGTTACTACTGGTTAATGTCAAAATTATCAGTTTAGGTCAATTTACGCAGACGGCAACGCAAAAACTGTTTAAGTGGTTGGATGGGGTACGCACCCTAGCCTCAACAAATTTGAGCTCAATTGACTTGTTGGAATTTTGTTTTATTTGAATGTTTGTGAACGAATACAGTTATAGTTTCGATTTTATTAACAATACGCTTCTTAATATTCGTAGTTCTTAAGAAAAATAACATCTAATAGATCATTAATACTGCTTACTTTAATAACTCAGTTCTTTTCTTTCTTTATTCGTTTTAAATTTG